TGGGGTCATTAACCTCATGCCCAACCCTACCCCTTTATCCAGGCTTGGGACCGGCGGTAGCCTCAGAGGGGCCCCAGGTGGGGTTACCATCATATATACTATCCTTTAAATAGTATTTCGATACCAAATCTCACTGACTATGTGAAGTTGCATGTCCAATTAGGTAAGTTTGTTACAGTTTTTGGTAAGTATTTTTGTTCAAAAAACTGTCTCATATATTTTGGTTACACAGTATCATATTAATTTTGAATGTTGTCATTCCTCTTTTAAAATAAATACCGCTACATTCCCTAATTTTGACTAATACCAGCTTACATTACCCATTTTGTTCATTTTATACTGAATATAAACACATCCAGATTGCTTTTTAGAATTATGGTCTACTTCGTTATTAGTACCACTCCAATAATAGACTTAACCCTAAAATTGTAGATTTGTCATGACGTAACTGCTTAATGTGTAAGATCTTACGTGGAAGTCACACCATCGTCTGCCCTGACTCATCGTGTTATAACAATCATCAATATATGATGAACACATGTAGTCTGGTAATAGAACAATAAATTTCATATGGGTAAAAGCTATTTTATATGAGTATGACCACGCCTGCAAGATCGAGCCATGCGATCAAATGAACTTAAATTTATTGAATTCATTCTTTCCGCCTTCTCCATCGCTGGGTTTTTATCCGCATTAAATGCTGAATAACTATTTTCCCAGTTGTATCATGTTCAGCTTTGAGGATTGTAGTTAGGACTCAATATCACTATATGATTACCAATGATTTGTGCAAACACAGTCCTATATCTGTCTTTTCTTCCACCCTAATATTCGAATTTCGCTTGAGTTCGTATTGCTGTTGTTATTTTGTTATTGTTATCATGATTGATCCTCAGACACATTAAATATTCTTCGCCCCACCTATATTTCCTGCCTCGCTAATTTCCTTCTACACATACTTTATAATCAAACATTCGAAGTTTATAACTGAAGTCACATTATTTTGTGTTACACCTAAACAAACTGTCTTTTCAGGTTCATATTTATCTTCGAGACGTATATATGTCCCATACAAATTGACATGTGACGATAAGTCTCCGCAAGTAATTAAGTCTTTCACGGCATCATTCTAAACTATTACTGCCCAAGCTCTTATTCTACCTTCAAACCTTACAGTAATAACGACCTATCTATTCTTTGAATCATTTTGTAATACATTTGTTTCCGCTTATTCTTATTCTGTTTCACAAACGCACTTGTTAGATTAATACATATTTTGCGCTTCCTTCGATCATCTTTTCCCATTTTTTCCCTTAAGTCAACTCAACATTCTTCTAAATTCTACAGAACCTGTTTAAATATGGAGGATATTATGCAAAAATCATTGGAACTTGTGTATAGCTGCATTTATGAAGAGGCCCAAAATAGTCTTCTTTCAATGATAATTTACTAATAAGCTGTGTGTGAATAATGACAATAACATACAAATTCCCAGGTGTGATTGCAAATACAGCTAAAGAGTTTAATATTTACTGAAAATTATATGGCCCAAATGATGACTTATTTTCATTTTCCGTGTTGTTTAATCGTTTTTACACTGTTCGAAGTGATCTAAAACCACTACTTGAAGCCAACACGCATGAATGATTGATATCAAGTGAGTTGAACTAGTTTACCTCAGAGATACTAGATTTTTGACGCCTTTGTGTTGAAAGTTAATGGTTCTGTAATACAGAAAAATGAGAAGGAAAATCATCTGGGAAAAGCCGGTTCATCACTAAGATATTAGGTATCCAAGTACCACACTTATCATCAACCTAATAGAATACTTGTGACCTACCTACTATTATTATTCGTCGTATTAATACTATCATTATTTTGATCTATCACTTTCTCTTCCTATCTTGTTTCTTAACCGTGTTTCCTTGAGTTTTGCCCAGTCATTAATCGGTTTGATTAATTTCCATGCTTCTCTTCGTTTTGTGGCAGGCGAACAACCAAAGTATTTGAATAATGATGTAGATGTGAACTCAAATGACTTAAGTAGGTAAGAGTTAACGACATACACAAAATGAATGTAAACGAATTATACAGTTATTTGCAAATGGTAAGTGATTTCATGTTCATAAGGTCAAAATAAGTCTAAAATTATAACACGGAATTGCTAGGCCCTAATTGTCAAATGCGACTAAATTTTAAGTTAGATAATCGGATAGAATAATGTCAGGTACACCAGCTGGAGATATCCAACATATATGATAAAAGCCTGAAAAACGAACAAACTGAGAATAGAGTGCAAAACACCAGTGAATAAACTTGGAAAACATTCTATAGCCAAGAGCAAAAACTGTTGGAAGTCCGAACAATGATAATAAAAGTCGAACTCAATGGAACCAGATTAGTTTAGCAATCAGACAAAAAAACACGTGAAAGCTACCTAATACCTGAAAATAAGAACAAAAAAATCATCCAAGTCATTCTAGCTTGCCACAAAAATATTGGATATTGGATCTGCTAGTGACTAAACCAAGTGTTGCGTTGCATGTATTACCTCGTGTGAGGTGGGGTCAGTTTCAGTTTCAGTTTCAGTTTGGGAAGGACAGGATGCTCGATGGCCTATGTTAGTCCTGGCAATGGTGGTCTCTCAGTTGATCCAACTTTCTTTTGAAAGAGTGGACGGATGGAGCCTCAACCACGTGCTGAGGTAGTGAATTCCACTCGTTGATGATTCGATGGGAAAGTCGATAGTCAGCTGACAAGTAATTTGTTCTCGGCTTATGAACTTTTTTGGAGTGTCCTCGTAAATTCTCTGTTTTGGAAGACAAGAAAAATGAGGGCATGTTAGGTGCAAATTTATCACTAAGCAATTTGTAGACTGTAATCAAGTCGCCTCTAGTTCTGCGATATGACAACGGGAAAAGGTTCAGCTTGGCCAGTCGAGATTCATACGGAAGCTTCGCTATTGCGGGAACCAGCTTAGTCGCCATTCTCTGAACCTTTTCCAGAAGCTCTCTGTCTTTTTTAAAGCAGGGGCTAGCCGCTTGTATGCAGTACTCAAGTTTAGGACGAACGAACACTGTATACAAAGTCAAAAACGTCTTAGTGTCGACATGACTAAAAGCCCTACGTATTGACCATAACGTTCTAAAACTTTTGGCGGCTATTGCACGGCAGTGTGCAGTAGTCTTTAAGTCTTGACTAACGATAACTCCTAAGTCATTATATGTCTGGACGACAGGTAGCTCAGTGTTATTCATCGTGTATGTATCTGTGCCTTGATGACCGATATGCATCACAACACACTTGGAAGTATTTATCGGCAACTGCCATGTTTGAGACCATTCAGATAACTTCTTCAAGTCATTTTGAAGTTCTAAGCTATCACTCTTACATCGTATCGTTCTCCATATCTTGACATCGTCAGCATATAGCAAGACCGATGATGATAGGAGACAAGGAAGGTCATTTACATACAAGAGGAATAGCACTGGCCCCAAAACTGTACCCTGGGGCACTCCACTAAGCACAGTTTCCCAGCTAGATAACTTTGAGTTCACCCTTACTCTTTGTTGACGCCCAACTAAGAAGTCTTTTATCCACATCAATAAATTACCTCCAATCCCGACATGTCTTAACTTATATAACAGCCGGTTGTGCGGAACGTTATCAAAAGCTTTACTGAAATCAATGAAGGCGACGTCTACAGGTAGCTTTTGGTCCTTAAGAGCACACCAGCTTTCACGAGCCACTAATAAGTTCGTGAGACAAGAATAACCTATTCTGAAGCCATGCTGCTTCTCCGAGAGGATCCGGTTTTTATCGAGATACTTAAACAGCTCCTTCCGAATAATCTTTTCTAATATTTTAACAACCACACTAGTTAGGCTAACGGGGCGGTAATTCTCAGGTTTGTGTTTCGTGCCTGTTTTGAAGACAGGACTTACTATGGCGTTTTTCCAATCTTTCGGTAAGCGACCCTGCGTAACGGATAGGTTAAAGCATGTACTTAAAGGGTTCGCAACGAAGTTAGATAATTCCTTCAGTAGCCTAGGATGTAATTCATCGGGCCCCGTGGATTTACCTATGTCAAGCTTATTTAGCAGACCAAAGACATCGAGTTCTTTAATGGTCACGCTATCCAGTGTATGTATGGGGGATCTGTATACGCTGACGAGAAGGGCGCTTCTATGGTATACACGTTGCTAAAGTAGTTCGAGAACGCTTGAGCCTTACCAAAGTCGTCCTCCACTAATGATGAAGCAGTACTGTCTCCCCATAGAGCAGGAATATTTCCTTTTCTCCTTGTCCTTTGGTTTATATAGGAATACAAGCGTTTAGGACATTCTATGGATTCCTTAACAAGTTTTTCTTCGTACAATTTTCTAGACTTACGGAGGGTCGAGGCACAAGTGTTCCGAGCCTTTCGATACTGAGATTTTGACTCATCAGTCCCCAGTAACCTAAATCTATCCCACGTTTTCCTTTTCTTACGGAGAAGGATACGAACCTCCCTACTGAACCATGGTGGTGAATTTTTCGGCCCCTTTGGTATAGTCCAAGGGATGTGAGGTGTGGTAACTTTTAAGTATGATTTTCGAAATGTGTCCCAGGCCGTTTCAATGGAGGACTCTGGGTCTATTGTCCAATCTATTAACGATGCTGAGTGCATGATGTCTGGTATGTTTGCTTTCCAGACGTTGGGTCTGGACTGGACTGACGCGTCCTCATGACTGGCAGTTATATGGAAGTCGAAAGTTAAAACTGCGTGGTCACTTTTACCTAAGGGTGGCATATGGTGGAGGTTCGCAACATCATCCTCATAGTGAGTCAGTATAAGATCTAATAAGGATGATTCAGTGTCCGGGTCGTACCTAGTCGCTTCTTTCACATGTTGCACTAGGGCACATGTGATAACCGCACCAACTAGTTCCTGCTCGAAGGAATTTTCTGACGATTCAGTGTGTAAGGTCACATATTTACGTCTAATTTATGAACTTTTGGTCAAGATTCTTGCAACATTATGCGTCATTATGATTTAAGTTGCCTTCAGCACTTTTATGATGATCTCATTAGCAATAAGCTCATAAGCATCTTCACTAATTGAATTATCTGGATCCTACTTCTTCCTTGGATTTTTTTCGCGGTTAATTCGACTGTCATCCTCAGTTCAGACAGGCCTCCGATTCTGTGGTAATTTCAGTTATTTCAATGAGGGGTTGTAACTTTTCATTGATGTAACGAATTCGAAATTCATGCCAGCACCTGTATTTTGGAATCTGAAGCTGTCTTATTCTCGCACTGTTGTTAATCGCTTTCATCATTTAGTTTAGGCACATCTTATGTACTTATTCGGACATTTCAATATATTTGTCACGAGCTTGTATAAATCGATTGATTCCTTTGCGCTCGTTTATTGTTTCTATGCGGTTCCAGCTATTTGGTAATGTCCAATAGTTAATAGTCTGGCCACTCGACTGCAGTAATCCCAGTCAGTTTGGTAGACATTTGTGGACTTGTATGTTTTGTAATTTGTGTGTGTTTGTCACAGGGGTCGTAGAGCTTCTGTATATCAACAGCTATCATATTGCCTGGTAGGAGGTTTGTTAGTTGCAATGTGAAAATAATAAAGTGATAATTTGAGTCATAAGAGAAGACTATTGTTATAAGAGCAAATAAGTAAGTCATTTAATTTGTGTTTCAGGCGGTGTGAGACGTAAGGGAGAAAATGAGAGAAATGAAAATAAGAGAGATAGGAAGTATTACTGATATCCAGTAATAATAGTCGTGTTAAATTATAAAACATTCATAGACGGAGCTGGTCCAAGAGAGAGATTCCAACTCACAGGTCAGTTTGTGTTTGTCAAGTATCCTCTGGAAGCTATCCACTTAGGGGGCTGCATTCACTTCGCTCAGGGGAGCATTTTAATCGGAAACAACTCTTAATGAGTAAATGTGAAAGCGTACCTGCGTGTTTTCTCAATTTTCAATCTTTCTAGGATTATTTCGAGGAGGGTAGTGGCAATGTTCGTGTAGATTCCGTGTTAACCTAACTTAGCGTATCTAATAAATTGTATACCATTACCAAACCACCTTTTATTCCCTTAAACTTCAGTAAGTATTCCCAAATGTTTGAATATCCTGGTTTTTAGGCAGATTGCCTAAAGTATGTCGTCCAGTTTCGTGCAAACTGACCTCTAGGTTTTTTTCTTGCATAGCGTGTCCCATTAGCTTGATCACGGTCTTTGAGTCTTGTACTGCTGGTTGTTATTTAAGTTAACCGACACTAAGGTGTGTTCCATTTGGCTTTCCCTATGTTGTCTAACAAGGCAAATAATTCCTAAAGCATCACAAATCATCAGGCCCAGTTGACTTACCTGCTGCCCTTGTTAAAGATGGTGGCGACCTAATTAAGGAACTGAGTGGGTTGTTTACGAAGGTCGGAGAACTAGAGAGGGTTCCAACATCATGGAATTAGTCGATAGTTGTCTTTTGAAAGGGTTCATGTCATTTCTGAACTAACTACCATGGGTTAGGTCTACTTCCGTTCGCGTCCAGATTATTGGCTTCCATCATACTTCGTAGATTGTTCGAAACCTGAGAAATATTAACTCTCGAGAAGCAGGCTGTTTTTCTTTCTGGTTGAGGATGTTTTGATCATATATTCACCTTCCATCAAATGTTAGAACGCTGTCATACTTATTACACATAAACAAACCTAATGTTTTTTGACATTAGGGCGGCCTTGGATTCGTTGGACAGGATTGTTCTTTGGGACTGTCTATTGATGAAGGGTGTGCCTGAGAAGTTTATTAACATTTTAAAGCCATATATACTGACACCTCATATAGAGTAAGGGCATACAAACACCTCTTTTCAAATTTCCCATCAAGGACATTCTGGAAACAACTTTGATGGAAGTAGTTAATAGTGGTGTGGATCTGTTACCCGAAGAAGGCTTCGACCTTGAGTATGTGGACTATATTGTCTTACTGTGTGGTGATACCCAAGCCATGCAGTTCGCACTTAATCAGTTGGTAGTCAGTGTCCGTAGGTGTGGCATATGCTTTGTACCTTCCAAGTGCAAAGTACTTCTACAAGACTAAGCTTACACTCACCTTAGATAATGAGCAGGCAAAAGCAGTCGAGAAGTTCGTATATCTGGGTAGCTTGCGTAAGTGCTGTTGATGGCATTAGTGATGAGATCCATTGATGTATAGTGAAACCTAGAACAGCTTATGCGAATCTGGGCCATCCTTGGCGACTTCGTGATGTTACTCTGGTTGTAGAAGGTCGGATCTACAACGCGTCAGTAACAGCAGTTTTACTCTATGTTTGTCAGACCTGGCCTCCGAGTTGAGGATGTGAGATGACTCTATGTTTGACCATCGTTGTCTCCGAAGAATTGCTGATATCCGGTGACAAAACCATGTTAACAGTGCAGAGGTTCGGCATCGTGTGTTCGGGCACAGAGACAATCCAATTGGTGTCACCACCTTGAAACATCGGCTAAGACGGCTTGGTCATGTCCTAGGAATGTCGTCCCAGAGAATCCCACGCCGTGCATTATTTTCCGACTCTGCAACCTGTTGGAAAAAGCAAAAAAGTGGTCAGTGTATGACATGGTGTCGTGGTATGAGAGAAATCTATACAGGACTGGCTTCTCTCAGTCCTTTACAACTCCCTGGTTGGAGTCCTAGAGATGATGCAACACTGATTAGAGACGTTATTTGACATGGTTTAAAATAGAAACCAGTGACAATCCTACTGTAATTCCCTCTTACTTTCTTCGTTAAAGTAAACGTAACTTCTTCAATTAGGATTCTAGTTGTATTTTTCTCAACTGAGCTATCTCTCCCATGGTAATAATAATTATTCACTCATACACTATTTTCTGTTCGTTGTTGTCCTTCTTTTTGTTATACGTACGGTACATTCTCTATCTCCTCACAGCCTCATTGCTACTGTGTGGCTCATATGTATTTGGTTCCCCGTTATTCCAATGTCCATGTGTCCAAATGAAATAAAAAAATAGAAGTAGGGGCATGGGTAAAAGTTTGATCTTGATTCGTTAGTTGGAGTTTCAGTTTTTGGTGATGAATTGAGTGATCCATGTTGTACACAATACTCTGACGTTCATAGTCTGGTGTTGTCTTGAGCTTTCTTAAAATCCTGTTCGTAGAAGCAAGGATTTTTGACTTATCGAACTGTGAATTAAGACCTTTTTCTCTGCTAGTAGTGCTTGGAGTTTTAGTATACATACTGTTGCAACACTGGCAGAAAAATCCGGTTCAGGGCCTCTCCGCAGAAATATTGAGTAGTAGGGGCAACATAATTAACTTGAGCGGTTGGCAGAGATCGGACTAATCCACCACTTATTTGTAAACCGAATTAAACTGAATTCCATTTGTTGGGGCTCCTAAAAATTTTGCGGGTTTCCCTATGTTTATGTATATGAATTGCGTGGGTTTTGGCTTGTGGGATATATATATGTGGGTATGTACAGAGCGTACACGTGTGGTTTAGCAAAGCGGACGTAAGCTGAAATGTCTGCCCTATTTCTTATAAAATCTCTGGCCTTATCCTTTAGGTCGAAGATATAATAAAAAGAGACGGTAGCAAATACCAGGGAGATGTGACCATTAATGTTCCTTGAAGGAGTGCTTATGCCTATAGGTATGTTATGAAGTGTAGAGTCGAAAGCCTTTTACCAGCGATATGCACGTAATGTGTAAGTTATCGTCACTCGTATTAAATGTTTCTAAAGGAGTGGTGACCATCTACCCTTCCAGGTGGGTAAATATACTTACATGTATGCTATGTGATGGATGAGTGAAAACTTGTATGTTACCGGTGTGGATGTAGATTATACTTACCCCTGGTGAGACACCTGCGTGCCTAGACCTAAGGGTGGGTTTATAAACCTTGGGAAACGGAAACCGTTTCTAGAAAAACCAGTCGGGTTCACCGGCTAAGGCTTGACCAACCTTGACACCGTACTGTGCATATTACTAATTAGACTAAAGGTAAAATATAGGACAGTTTAAAGAGGAAGTGCACAAGACGAAATTTTTGAAACAGACAAATGATGTAGGTAAGTGAGTATATGCCACACAAGAATAGAACCTAAGATATATCAAAAATTGCAACGTTACCTATGACCATCCTAGCAAGCGACTTCGCGTGTATTTAGTAACTTATCCACAAGTCCCGTGTTTGAAAGTTAATGGATTTGTGTATGTTGCATTTGAAGCAACTAGTAAGAGAACAGTTGGTCGAGACATTTTCTCCCGTCATTCTGCTTACCAGCTTTCTGCCCTCACTCTGCTTTGCACGTTCTCCCAACAGTTAAAATACCTAAGTGGAAATAGCTATAATTAAAAGGTTTACCAATGTACAAGTTCTCAGTGATAACTGTCGATTACCCCTACTCCTCAACTAGTAACGTTTGAGTCCACAGAACTTATACTGGTTTTCATAATTTCCTCTTCTAGTATTCAATCCTACTTGTTATATCCAAATTGCTTTACAGGGTTAACAATACAGTCGCTTCGTCAGTCAAACAGGTATGGCTGTAATCTCAGATATAAGGTATGTATGAATTTGAATTACTATTGTTTTAGAAAGCCAAAGACGCATAAAGGGAAAAGAGTCTTAGAGCGAAGAGCTCCTAAATTAGTAGAGAATGACAAATGCACCCTTGTCATAAAGGGTGGTCATACAAGTGACGTTGTTAATACGTTTCTCAATGATTTAGTGAGTCGTATGTATTTGTCTTTTTATTTATTAGTGCGCTTTGAAAAAACCACTTGTTTACCGTTTAAAGTGGAAAAATAGAGTCCTCCCCTTCGAAGATTTATCATTTATTGTAAGTTTCTTTCATAACTGTTCTATTTTGAAGGAGAAAATGTGTAATAAGTTCGACTGCTCAATGTTTGTCGTTGGGATGCATTCCAAGAAAAGACCGCATAACATTATTTTTGGAAGGCTGCATGATGGTGAGCTACTAGATATGTTTGAACTTGGCATAAAAATGTACAAACCGATATCGGATTGTAAAGTAACTTACAGACTAGTAATACTAACTCCTCTTAAGGACAAAACTCTCATATATGGAGCTAAGCCCATGTTATTGTTTTCTGGAGAGTTGTTCAACTTAGACACAAAATATATGACTTTAAAATCTTTGTTAGTAGGTACGTTGGTTGTTCTGTGTTCGGATTTTCTTAGATCTTTTCAAGGGCCCAACAGTTGAGAAGATAAGAACATTAGGTGTTGAACACCAGTTCCACTTTGTTTTGTCGTCAGACAAGAATTTATGTCTTCGCGTCCGGAAAATTACCCTGTCAACAAAAGGCAAAACCAACTCAACTGAACTCAATGTTCCACCTCTAAAGACTCCAGATGGTAAAGTAGTTCAGATTACACTTGAAGATGCTACCCCAAGTGCTGACTTTGATCTACGACGAGTATCTTTGCCGTCCGAGGTAAGTAACAAAACCCTCACATTTGATTCACTTTATATTGATTAGTTGCTTAGTAGTGACGAAAGTCACATTTGTCTAGTTCTTAGTGTTGATTGAGTTCTGTCGACTGAGTTAAAATTGGTTACTAGTCTAAGTGGTTTGACATTTTGTCCGCTATGTTCTAGTAATTGTAATCTCCTCCGAAGTCTACATTTAAGACACTTTTTGTTATTCTGTCTGCTTCATCCGATTTCTTCACTTAAATTAAAATCATCGTATATTTTTATTCCTCGGATTCACATATTCTCAAATTAAACTATCTATACATACTGTCTTAAACTATCATTGCTTTGGAGAATTTGATGATAAAACGAAGGTTATCGGGATTATGTACTAAGTTTGCGCAATGCATTTCGAACAATCTGATCATACATATACTTGCTAAAACAAAAAATTAAGGGTTAACTAGAAAAATTAAAAGGTAAGGTGAAGCAAGGATACAAACAAAATACACGATGGGAAAGCCAAACTGAATAATAAATCAGTATTAACAGGGTAGATTTAGGCTAAGAACCATTTGTCTTTGTGCACATAAAGGGGGAAGTTTCACTACTTCATCAATTGATTTGCCATCTTTACCTAATACCCGTTTCCTAACAACGGCGTTACTTACTCGGTGGTTATGCGAGCAATGCTTCAAAGACACCTATAATCGAATGCTAGTAACCTACGAATATCCTCTACTTTTATCGGCCATGTTTAACAGTCATAAAGTAAAACGGAACGAACTGCTGTGCAGTAAACCGGTCCTTTGGTTGGTAGACGGATACCTCGCCTACGTCACAGATGACGCAAGTTGACAAAAGCTAGTCGGACTTTCTGTATCCGTGCTGAAGTTTCGTCACACACCAGGCCACAAGGGCTGATGAGACTCTCATGATAAGTAAAGCGATCGACACGTTCAATTACTTCACTCCCTATCATTAGTTCGGGTGTCAATGCAACCCAATCCTGAAGCAACATTTTACATTTCGAGTGGGAGAATCGCATCCCGAACATGCTTGCGTTGTTTCTTATAGTGGTCAGAAGACTGCGTTTTATCAGCGTCTTCACCAAATAAAACTATGTCATCAGCATATTATAAGTCAACAAGTGAACCTCCCGGTAGAAGTTCAACCCCTGGAAATTTAGACGAGGAAAGTGTTATCTCTAAAAGTACGTCGACAAAGTTGAACAAGAATGGAGAGAGTGGGCAGCCCTGACGAACACCACTTGAGGTAATCAATTCCGATAACAGTTCGCCATAAGCTCTCACTCAACCAGTTGTGTTTGAGTAGAGAGCCTTTACAAGGTTAATGTTCTTCTTTGGTACTCCTTTCAGTGACAAACTGCCATAGAACCTCACGATCAACAAAGTCAAATGCCACCTTAAGGTCGAAAAATACTACTATTGTGAGGCGTCTGAATGTGTGTCTATGTTTTAGGGCCTGACGTGGTGTGAATATCTGGTCTATACAACCACGTCCAGGTCGAAAACCAGCTTGATTTTCCCTAGTCTGCTCTTCACGAGCTTTAGTTAAGCGTTGAAGTATTATTGAATCTAACATTTTAGACACTATAATTGTCAAACTGATTCCTCTGTGATTGTCACAAGAGGACTTTTGTCCTTTCTTATAGACTGGCACAATCAGTGATTGAGACCAGTCAGATGGGACTACGTCCAGTCCCCAAATTCTACCTAAGACCTCAGTTAATCTCACTGCTAATACTGAACCACCATCCTTAAAAATCTCAGGAGTAAACCTGTCAGGGCCTGCTGCTCTCCCTCGCTTCAGATTTCCTATGGCTTTTTCAACTTCGTAAAGAGTCGGAGGACCTGCATTAGCTTGCCATTCAGGTTGACTGGAGATCGTGGAAAACTGAAGTGTGGCTGAAGGCCAGTTGAAACGATCCCCAAAGTGCTCTGCCCATCGATCCAATCTCCTGAATTGAGAATGAATAATATGTACATCTTTCTCTGAGAGTGTTTCGCTAACAATCGGTTTCCTAATACCGGTTTCCTTAACAAGTCTGAACAATTGTCTGCTATTACCTATTACCGCTGCCTTTTCCATCTCTCTTGCTTTCGCTACCCACCACTATTCGCGATCATTGCGTAGGCTTTTTATCAGCCTGCGCTTAAGCTGACTCCGCTCCTCATTATGTTCAGAGCCAGGTGGAATGAGTTTCCGGGCATCTATCAGTGCGATAGATGCTGCTGAGATCCAGTGTTGCTCCCTAACCTTGTGGTTTACCGTACTAGCAGATATCACTGTTGTTTCCACAGCTTTTCGGATATCATTCCATGCTGCATCGGGGTGGGCATCACATACATGGCTGCCTAACTGTTTTCCTAGTTGTTCCTGAAATACATTCTTAGCTTGACTATCATTAAATAGGACCCTAGGAGGTTTATTTGCAGCATCTTTCCTACGTCCAGTAAGACGCAGACAAGTACGCGCTCGCACTAGAGCATGATCTGAATCTAGGCATGTGCTCCAGAATGAGCGACAGTCTTCAATCGAGCCTCTCCATCGGTGGTTGGTAGCGATGTGATCTATTTGGGTCCAACGTTGGGACGAATTCGGTGGTTGCTATGTCAAAAGATGTTTTTCCTTATGCTTAAAGTTAGTATTTACAAGAAACAGACGGTCGCCATTAACTGTTCTTTGAGCTACGACTCGACAAGATCCACCCAGGTGTCTTTTCCTTTCGCTTAGTTTACCTACTTGAGCATTAAATTCACCAACCACTATTACTACATCAGAACGCCTAACTTTTCGGAGTTCGGAAAGCTTTCTGTAAAACTCATCTTTTACATCATCTGAGCTGCAGTCAGTGGGAGTGTAGGCAGAGATGACGAAGAGGCAACGAGTGTCGCTATCTTTCCGAGTCCTCACTGTTCCGTTTAGTCGGACAGCGCACAAACGACGGTCTACTGGGATCCAGTCTAAGAGAGCTAGTTCTGCCTTAGAACTCAGTGCTATACCTGCGCCGGCGAGTCCACGAGAAGCAGCATCTGGGCTTCCATATACACGAAGCGTGAATCGAGATGGTTCTTTATTTTGACATAGTGAGGTCAAGTGAATAACGCTACTCGGATCCTTTACGCGCGTTTCGGAGACGCAGCACACATCGATGGTGCGATATTCTAAAGTCTTAGCTAAGGAAGCCTGTTGTTTTATTTGGCAGTGTTCGGACGTTAAAAGCTCCTACGTGTAGTTTGGAGTGTGGTTTCAGAAGACCAGGAATAACGTTCTGCGTACTCGAATCGTTTGCCCTAGCGGTGCGAGGTGATAAAGGGACGTGAGAAGGGTTAGTCGCGGAAGAAAAGACAATTATTATGAGGTGAAGGAAGGATTTGAATGAGACCAACTTGGTCTCGTGTGCTGTTACGGGTATGAGGGCTGATATCACTTCCCGGCTGCCCACACCGTGGAAGGGTATTTCTTGAGGAACCTGAAATGAGAATTGGATTAGTGTTGGTCTCAAAGACCTGGGAGCGTGACCGCAGAGCCCAAGGGACAACTGCTTCAGGCCGGTCTCGCACGGCCTTCTCGTGGAAGGTTTTTAATGTGTTAGCTCCGTTCTTCAAAGCGCCTTACCGCCGGAGACGGAAATCCGTGAGATAAGGTGAGGTGTGACATTTTTAGGGTCGACCTTTTCTAACCCCTTCCTTCCTTGTGGGAAAGCAGCATCGCTGCAGATGCTGGTTGTCTGAGGGAAACACCTTACTCCTGTCACACCCCTCTACAGTCAGCAGTACGACTTCGCCCTCAGACCTTGAGTTGCTGCTTTTAGTCTTACCGTTCTCCAATCGACCTGCCTGGCATGGTAGAACCTACAGGAACATATGTTCCAGCCAATATAGCTCGGTTTGGTCATCACGATAGGCAAGCTCGACCATCACATCAAGGTAGCAGCTACGGTCGAGGTATTGACATAAACCAGCATCTTACCGTTTTTTGTCAAACTTCTTTAATGTTTTTAAGGTGCATAGCACTATCATAGTTCTTCGTTCACATACTACTGTGCTATTTTATAACTTTAAATGAGATATTATATCAAGTCAAATTTAGTTTTTAGAGCACTACTCCATATGATGGAATTATAATAAGATTGATATGATGGATGAATTAGAATATTTCCCTCTCTGCGATATACTGCCCTAGTACGATAATAAGACTGGATTGGATACTCGAACGATCCACTCTACACAAACTAGATCACGTTATATCAGACACCTGATTCAAGACCAAAATAGAAAACCTGAGTAATACCAGACGATACTTAATCCGGCATAATTACAAGCAGTCACCCTTAGTGAGCGAAGGAAATCACATAGCTAATAGTGAGCTTGTTGAGAGATGTGGGAGTTTTCAAACCTAACCTAGGTTTGGTATGGTTCATTTGAGCTACTGATTAATGTTGATGTCATCTTTTATCATAAATAGGAAATTTTCCACACAGTCGTAACCGAAATATGACGGGCATTTGAATCTATAACAAATTCATAGTATTCGACTGGGCTGTGTGCATACGATGAACAAGTGATGAATCAGTATTGTGGTCAGCTAAATTTTTTGCAGCTATTCTAGCTAAACGTTAAATTTTAAAATGCAACCAATATTCCAGATTATCATACCTTTCAAGGTCTAATGTCTTGTTTAATCATGAGGCCTTATTGTTATAAAGTTTTCACACTGAATGTTCATACAGTGCTCGATATTTTTGCATTAGGTAATGAATTTCCAACTCTCTTGGGAAAACATTCTAATAATTCCTTTATACAAATAGGTATTTATCTATCAAAATTACCGAATATTATCTAAGAAATCCAATTCCCATTATGTTTTAACCACACATTATAATTCGACTTTTTACTGCTATTTATGCACCATAGCAATATAAATTATAATCTGATATTTTCTTATTTCGTCTCCTGATTATGTACTGACTTTTATTGATTACTCGTTGCAGGACAAATGGAAACGAGCTCATCGTGTACCCCCTGAAGTTATGAAAGGTGACAAAACGCCTAAAAATAAATCTGTCGATGTTTTCGGTAGCCGAATAGGACGAGTTCATGTTGGCAAGTCTTCTGAACTAGAGAATTTACGACCTGGATCTACCATCCGAACTGCTCTGACCGGGCATCGAAAACGTGGTTTTGAACGAATAAAATCGGGTGTTAGCAAATCTAAAAAAACATCAGTTCCTAGTGACCTTAGCGTTAGCAAACGGCGTAAACTGTTTACTGATGCTTAACCAAATACACACTTTTGCTCTCAAAAGAACAATGTTTCGTTCGATAATACTGTTTATAACGTAGACATCAAAACACTAAGCTGGCAAAACTTGAAGATGATAAGGGAGTAAAAAAGACGGGAGGCTTAGAACAGTAGCAATTAAAAGATGAGAGATTCCGCTGATTACCGTTCTAAATTATGGAGAGAACGCCTGTAACTCATATTCTTGTATTTCACATAGAAATAGCTATTAAGTGAATTTCGGCTGGCAAACCAAAAGAAATCTAAAACAGCTAAACTTTGGCAGTACTAAAAATTCTTCTCAGGTGTTAAAATAATGACAAGTTTTAGACTTGTGGCAAGGGTTAGGAATTAGATGCTTAATTAATTGAACCACTACAAACACACCTTTTACATAAGAGATAAGTAGTCTTCAGAAAACATATTCGGATTAGGATTTCTCATTGGTTTAGCTGTCAGAAATAATGCCTCTCAAGATATTTAGCACTAAAATATAGAAGTTGAAGATTGCGAGACATAGACTCCGTTCCTTTGGAACGCTAGCCACCTGAATTCGTCTTAGACGCATTTCTGACATTAAATAACGAGTGCACAACCTGTAGTTTTTACTGCTGACCATAAACACTTCAATATAGGTATAACTACTAGGGCTTATTTCTCCAACTTCACTAGTCGCAATCCAATCTTTCTATCTGTTACCTAAGTTTCAGTTTAATGGGCCAAATACATCGTATTGAATATCTGATTTCTCCCCATAGTTTGCTGGTCATTTGGTTTAGAGCGAAACGTAAGGTCACAGAAGATTTTGGAATCGGTCCTTGTGTTGTAGTTCAACAGTAAGCAGCAAACAAGCAAAGAATTTAATTCAGAATATTGATAGCAGCACAAGAATAAAACCAGATACTTAGTAGGAAAAGGGTAAACAAAAACAGTCTGCCTTGCTGCGTGTAGTTTTGACTGCTTTGTCGCAGACTCCGATCAGGAAGTTGGCACTAGATACAGCTTAACCACGGTCAACGACTTCATGGATTTATGCTGTCTTGTTCTGATTCCCTTCCTACCTCCTCCAAATCAGCTAGATGTCTGGGAATAAGCAGTGTCTTGGCACATACATGTCCAACCACCCAAGTCGACTAACGTCACCAACTGACTCACCATTTCCATATGCCGTCAGCGCTGCTCAATTTGTGATCACAGCACAAGCAAGCGTAACTTTGGCGGCATTTTTCGATAAGAAATTAACAACTTAGGTAATGACTGATACTTTCATAGGTCATGTTGCGCATCCGTAGAGTAATACAAAACGGATAAGCTGGCTAGTACACTTATCCATGAAACCGGGGGGGGGTCATCTGAACAAAAACCAGCACGGTTATTCCGTTGTTTATACAATGTTTTTTGATTTCTGAACGTATCCGCACGTGGTAATGACCCTGGAGTATTTTCACTGACAATATCAGGGGACGGATAAATTTATGATTCTTAATATATTTGAATGAATATCGGGGAACCATCCACATGTGAAATGGGGTTATTTGTTGAGATTTAGATGGTGGTTGGAGTTAGTCAACAGGATTGTTCACTAACTCCGACCACCATCTAAATCTCAATACATAATGCCCAGTGTCGAGTCACCTAGACTGATGGCCACATTGCAACATGATCGATAGCATTCGATCTGCACTAATAAGGACTAGACAAGCATGACATTGATCACCATCCAGTGATCAATCAATTGTGGGGTTATATGTTTCTACTCATTAAAGCGTCTTATGTTGTAGTACTAGCTACATCTTATGTTATCGACTACAAGTCGAATACTACCAAATGATGACTAGCAAAAGAATACTGGGCATCTAAGACAATTCAAATTTTATCTTCAAGAATAGAGGAACCTATCTCTCAACTTCTTATACTGACCAATGATAAGACGTCAATGGAAACTGCTAGCCTGCGTCCCGATGACACAACGGATTCATATGGACCACAATCTGGGTCACAACTTATGAAGTAAATCATGTTGGTAAACCAATAAACGAACCTCCATAGACTAGGGAATCGTTCCTATTCTATGTAGTAGAAGTTAATTGTGGTCAAAGCACTGGTGTGCTAGAATTTTGTTGTAGGAGAGCTTCCAGAAGTTTAGGGATGACAAACTTGGTGATAACTGTTATCCAATCTAAGTATTTGTCAAAAACTAGCTGTCCCGTAATCATTACGCATATGTGAAACATGGTTGAAGTGCTCGCCTTTAAAGTTTAGTTTTATTTGGCATAGGCTCTGTGTAGCATAGTGTATTTGATATAACTCAAGTGAATGTAAAGGATTATCAGAAACTTATTACACATTGAATCGAGTTATAATCTAAGATAAAAGGATCTTAGAGTACTTACTGTGCAAAATCCAGCACTACATTTTGTAGTGCTATAAAGAAACTAAGGTTAAGGGTCATGAGGATTCAGAGTGCAAAACACAGATATCGGAATTCCAAGTGGTATGATTCATTTACAGAATAAAAGGAACCACACATTTATGCTGTCCAACCAATGTCATATTTACCCGATCATCATGACTCCAGCTTCCATACGTAATCCTAAGTTCAAGCTTGCTTTCACAGCTAAATCAGAGATCTACTTGCATCACACCCACTTAGGGCTCGTTTCGCTGACAGACAAATAGGAAAATGCACAACCTATTTGCGTAAAAAGAATATATGTAAGCCATAGTGTAGTCTTTAGTCAAGAAAAACGCAGTGGAGCATGCTTTTAAGCAAGCCAAAACTATTAACTGTCATCAGAATTATTCCATCGGCATCATTCCGAGACTACACTGAAACTTATCTACAACTGTCAACAAGCACATAAACTACAGCTCCGCTATTAAAAAACACAGCTGAGTCCTTTTATTATTTTCAAATTAGAGTCTAATGTACGTTCGCTTACACTGATCATTCTACATTTATAAATAGAGGAAGCACAAAAGCTATTCCGAAACTGAACATATTGTTAATAAGACTTATAAACATTTTTGCTAGGTTTTATATTGTCCATGACTGACCAAAAATTGCCTTCTGCGAAATGCTATTTTGAGTACGAAAACAAAATATTCCATGCTTCAAACCAAGCCTTTGAAAAATAGCGCGTGGATGTTCAAACCATTAAAATATATCGTTTATTAGTATAGAGTTGTGGAGATGGTTGAGTTTTAATTGAGATCATGAACCGATCAAAGTTAGATCACCAATGAAAACTTGGAAGCACCGGACTACCGTTTCGTCCTAGTAAGAGACTCATCAGAAGTGCTTTCAGGTTTTCAATCGTGGTCTAGCACTGATCGGTTCATGATCACAATTATATCGTTTAGCACCCGAAACTTAGTTTCACCAAGCATGGAAGAAAATTCACATTATAATATATACAAGTAAATCAAAAGGGCTTTTATTACATGATCGACAATTCAGAAAAAGTAACCGATAAGTAGAAAATAAAGTTAAGAGATCAGACACTTTTAGAAGTAGGAAGGTATTCATATTTATTTTTTACATGAAGTCATCTGAATCATAGCCATCCTCATTTGTCCTCATTTTACTCTCAACAAACAAACGATCGTATGATCTTTTTTCTGCTTCTGCTGCACGGACTTTCTGTGCCTCAAGCTCTGACTTTTTCTTAGCAGCCAGAACAGCTTTTTCTTTGTTTTTAATGCGGATATCTCGCTTCTCTCGTTCACCTCTTAAATCAGGATGTTGGCATTGCTCTTTTGTTTTATTTAGTCGTTTTATTACATCTCCATTGCGTTTTTCAACTACGATCTTTTGCACTGCTTTATTATTGTGAAAGGCTACTTGGCCAACATCCATATCATTGGTTTTTTTCAGGTTCTCCCATTTGGTATATACAACAGTGACATCGTTAAGTTTGCAACCCTATAAAAGTACATGTTTAAAAGTTGTAATATAGACAGAAAGTTGTTATTAAAAAGAAAAACCACGCTTATAATACTTCAAAATGTCGATATACCCGTCTTAATGAGCTAAAAATGCAAACTCGGGACTTTTTTCGCCAGTATACACACTATAAAAGTCTATGAGGAATAAACAGTTGAATCACTATCACATTTAAGTAGAGTATTTTAAATGGTTTGTCTTTAATATGGCAAAACTACATCTTTCCAAATCATGTTCATCCACTTTATAGAATCGCATTGTAACAGTAAGCGGTCTGAGGAAGGATAATTCGAAGAGAACCACAGAAAAAAGAAACATTCCTAACTTTCTTGTAGGAAGTTAAATAAACCTAGCAAACTGTAAATGACTTTTCAAAATAAGGTTTGAAACCGACCTAAACTTATTGCAAATACAAGTGCACACGAAATGTACACTGCTATGTAGTGATTTTAACTTCATATAAGGGTTGCGATCAAGGTGGGACCAGGCACATATATGCATCATCAGTACAAGTTGCCATACCTCATTAGCACAACAAGGTGAACACCAAATTCATAGAAGTAATTACTTGAATGGTAGTAATGTATAAAAGAAAGATTGTGCATAAGGATATAATACAGGAAAAAAGAATTACTTTGTAAAAAGAAAGGTATAAAGTAATTTTGCTGCTACACAGTGGCTAGAGACGTTATCAGATATGGCTCAGAATAGAAGCCAGTGGCGACCCTGCTGTAACCTTCTTTTACTTTCTTCATAAAAAGTGGTTGTGTTTCCCTTACCTGAAGGATTTCTTCCGATTGTACCTTTCCGTTCCCTCATTACTACCACACTACCTTACACCAATCTCTTCGTTATTGTTCTCTTTTTTTACGCTCCTTACCTTTTTTTCTTTTCTCATTGTTTTGTGTGGCGCATATATATTGGCGCTCTCTTGTACCAATATTTATGTGTTCAAATAAATAAATAAATTTTTCGACCCTAAGGCGGCATTTGACTTTGTTGATCGTGAGGTTCTATGGCAGTTTGTCACTGAAAGGAGTACCAAAGAAGAACATTAACCTTGTAAAGGCTCTCTACTCAAACACAACTGATTGAGTGAGAGCTTATGGCGAACTGTTATCGGAATTGATTACCTCAAGTGGTGTTCGTCAGGGCTGCCCACTCTCTCCATTCTTGTTCAACTTTGTCGACGTACTTTTAGAGATAACACTTTCCTCGTCTAAATTTCCAGGGGTTGAACTTCTACCGGGAGGTTCACTTGTTGACTTATAATATGCTGATGACATAGTTTTATTTGGTGAAGACGCTGATAAAACGCAGTCTTCTGACCACTATAAGAAACAACGCAAGCATGTTCGGGATGCGATTCTCCCACTCGAAATGTAAAATGTTGCTTCAGGATTGGGTTGCATTGACACCCGAACTAATGATAGGGAGTGAAGTAATTGAACGTGTCGATCGCTTTACTTATCATGAGAGTCTCATCAGCCCTTGTGGCCTGGTGTGTGACGAAACTTCAGCACTACTTTATGGCAGTGAAACATGGCCGGTAAGAGTATAGGATATTCGTAGGTTACTAGTATTCAATCATAGGTGTCTTTGAAACATTGCTCGTGTATCTTGGGACCACCGAGTAAGTAACGCCGTTGTTAGGAAACGGATACTAGGTAAGGATGGTGAATCAACTGATGAAGTATTGGAACTTTATCAGTTGAGATGACTAGGACACGTGTTACGTATGCCCAACAACCGACTGCATCGACGTGCTATGTTCAGTGGTATAGGAGTAGGTTGGAAGAAAGCTAGGGGCGGCCAGACCAAAACATGGCACAAGTCTATGAAGTCACTGACAAGTGGACTGAGTCATGTTGGTAGGTGTAGACTACCTGGTTGGGGACCGCGAGATGATAACAACCGATGGTTAGAGACTCTGAATGACATGGCTCAAAAGCGTTTGCAATGGCACAGGTGCATACACTCTTTGAGTTCTCCCGAATTTTGATCTCCTTATTCCTCCTTGTCTCCTTTTTTCTCTTTCCAAATTTATTTCACTGTATTATACTCTTTAAATAACATCTCCAAACACTAATTTTCCTGATTACTGCTTATACTCTCATTACCTCTACCACCACGGGATTTGAATCGACCACTGCATCTCTGTGCTAATGTGGTGTGGCAACTCGAACTGATGTACGTACGTACGAAGTTCTACGTTGTTACTGACTAACTGAATGAAATAATAAAATGACTAAATTAGGAACCTTCGGAAACAAAACTTGGGTGGGAAAGTGCGAAACAAGAACAGCAAAAAGCTACTAACGGTTAAGACCAGTTATCTTGCTCTAATGGTCTTCAAATCTTTAATTAGACAGTTGTCATTGACTTACTATTTAAGTATGAAATCGTCTTTTCTAGCGGGATATCTGTGCTACATACTGGCGAGGTCATGGAAATAAATACCATACACCAGGTGGTGGAAAAATGTATGAACAGTGACCAACAACGCATTTGTTATTCTTTTAGTATTACTTAACAATAAATATAACATTTTTACCCTAAAATATGAAGGCCAATAGAATTGAATAGACAAAGATAATTTAAATATTTGACATAATTCAATAAACCTGTTTATAATATGCTTTGACCTCACAAAGGTATACTTGTTTCGCAAAACATCAGAATATTATTGTCATGAAAGGTAACTAGACCAGAAACCGGAGTAAAGCACAGGCAAAAATCGAAATCTGCAATGATTTCATGTCTTAAAGCTGAACGATAGAAATGAAGCAAAGACTAACGGAGAGTATTGAAATGCAACCTAACAGTCTGACCAACTAAGAGATTGAGAAAATGGTACATAGTGCCGAACTTTTTGCGATATGTGAAACAACCTTGCTTTGAAAGATAAATCCGTCCCCAAAACGATTTGAAAATTACAATGACCGTTAAAAAATTCGTATGTCTTATGATATAAAATTTGAAAGCATTTTCTGTGAACCGAAAAGAAATGCGAACTAACTTGGATACTGTTTTCCTTGACTAGTTGTGCACAGTCCTGTATAACGGCAGTGGGGACATCATCTAAGGTTTCCCCCTCTTTAAGCCGAAGGTAAACATGAGCAGATGATAGAGCATCTACATGAAACCAAACATCTTCTGGCCATCCCCAACGAATAAGTTCATCATTTTCATGCTTATCTTCTCCCATGTAAATAAAGTACGGAGGTTGAACAAGTTCACACTTGAAGTGCAGGACCATAATTACTGGTTAACTAACCAAAATGTAGGGGATGGATGAAATGAACTTGCAACCGACTTCCAAACAGGACCGCGCTTCTTCACCACGACCTTGAACAGGCCAAATGACAACGTGCATTCCATATTTCAAATGGTTCAAACGGTTGTGGATGGAATAGAAGAAGCTTTCGCTTAACGTGCTTCCGTGTCTAGTAGCAGTGGATCATCAATACATCGAGTCAGGAACCTAGGTATATTAACGATAATAGAGGAAAAAGAAATTGGTAAATCATAGTAAGATGTTATTCTTAGTTCTTAAGAATAGGTCGAGTTTTAAAGGACTCCTGGCAAGTCACTTGAACTAGCTCAGTTGGCAGCGAATTCCAGCATTTGACAACCCTTAAGGAGTAGAAGCTATATCTACAATCCGTTCTGCTGTGTTGTGTCTCCAGTTTCTGGGTGTTACCCCTTAGGTTTGTGTTAGAGCTAAACTTAAGGGGGTATCCAGAGGTATTAGGCATACTATAAGCCATTAAAGAGTCACCTCTAAGACGCCTATACTCTGATGAGTAAAGGTTTAGTGATTGGAGGCGCTCTTCATAAGGCCTTAATTTAAGTCTCAGGACTGATTTCGTGGCTCGCTGTTGGACACGCTCCAGAGTATCCATGTCCTTTTGGAGTGAGGGAGGAGATACTATGTATCCATATTCTAAATGGGGACGAATAAAACTGTAGAAGATTATGTGGAAGGTTCTACCGTCAAACTGGTCAAAAATGCGCTTCAATGTTACCAGTCTAAGGTTTGCTCGAAAGACATTTTTGTCACGGTTAGCGTAAGACTTCAAATAGTAGGGCACAAGCACTCTTACGTCTTTTTCAACCTGGGATACTTCTATAGAGGAGTTTCCTAAGTTGTAACTATAGTCTGTAACATGTCTCGGATGGACTAATTTACATTTTGAAGTTTTAAAGGTAAGTCCATTTGAACCATTTGAATCTGCCCTACTTTGAAGTCGAGTTAAATCCTCCTGAAGTGCCAGTATATCTTCTTGGTTGCATATATCCCTCCGAAGTTTCATATCATCAGCAAAAAATAATAACTCAGACGATAATTGTTGTGGAAGATCGTTTATATAAATCACGAAAAGAAGAGGTCCTAGTACCAAACCCTCGTGGACCCCACTAGGACATTCCATAGCCTGGAAGTGAAGTTAACCCTGACCTAAAAATGTCGATTTTTTAAATATAAAGTGAGCCAATCAATTAGAAGTGATTTGATACCCAATCCCTTGAGCTTACTGATAAGACATATATGATTAACCCTATCAAAAGCTTTTGAGAAATCAAGGATGGTTGTCTGTCTGTCCACTACAGTCAGCAGGTTGTTTATACAAGAATGACCGTTCCTGAAAACATGCTGTTACTGTAAAAAGACGTTTAAAGATAATAAATAGTTCTGTGTGTCATCGCATATCAGGGACTTCATAATTTTCGAAGAGAAGAGCCACCGGTCGATAGCTTGAAGGTTCACTGTGTCGGCTTAGCTATTGTAATAACATCACTCTAAGCGGTGTTGCTAGGACTGAAGCTGCTCCCCACAGTATAGCAGAATGAACCATATTCGGACCAGGAGAGGTGTTTTTTAGGTGCTGCAGTTTCCGGTACATCATGTCAGCGCTCAGGTTTACTTCAGAAAGTCCTGTGCAGTTGTAGATGAAGCTTTCATCAATATAGTTAACATGGGTTGGTTGAAATGTCCGAGAGTTTTGTTCAGACAGAAGGTTAGCGGAGTCACTGTCGTTATGGGGCGGGCCATTAGGACCTAGCAGTTGGGAAACTCAAGTTTTGGCTTGTCGAAGAGAGGCTGCATAACAGAATAAGCATTTCGGATTAGAGACAAATTTAACAACAAGCTTTATGTGTTACTGAAGCCTGTCTTCTTATTGCTTTTGTGCATATGTTCCTCATATGTTTGTATTGCCAGAAGGCGCCGTTGTTATCAGTCCGTCTGTATCCCGCCTAACAGTGCCTTTTGTGGCTTAGCAAACAAAGAGTGCGATTGTTGATGACTGTAGCTTACTTGTGGATTTTGGGGACCATTTGAGGAACAGACTTCTCTTTATCACATGAGATCCTGTTCAGTAAGAAATTCCAACAAGCATCCACATCAAGTTTAGGGTGAACATCCCAATCCACCTGTTGTAGACAGTCCTGTAAAGCTGACATCTTCAACCGTTTAAAATTCCAGGGCCTGTTGTTGTTGGAATATCTTAGTTTTCTGATAAAACTGAAGGCTATGACGGCATGATTGCTTCTCCCTAGGGGAGCGAAAATCAAGGTATTGTCAATTAGGGATCCTTCGTTTGTAAATGCTCAGTCCACGATCGTAACAGCGTCTGACTGTTTCTCCAACGACTTGCTGACTTCACATTTTCGAATAATCCCAGATCCACGGTTGGGTTGAAGAACCAATCTTCTGTAGAGCTTTCACCTCCAATATATTAATGTTCCGCGAAATTGAATTTAGGAAGATTGAAGTCCCTTAGAATCAGGATATGAGTGAATCCGAGACACGTAGAGCGGGATAACCCCTACAGCATACGATTGCCATACTCCATGTCAGCAGTGGGCTTCCTGTAGATGACTCCAACCAGACACCTCGAGATGGTAGACAGTCTAATTGAGCACCATACGGATTTATTAAGATTGATAGACTCTTGGTTGTTCACTTGATGTACCTCCAGGCAGGATCGTAAGTAAAAGGCTAACTCAACCTCAATTCCTGTTTTTCTGTCATTGCTAAACAAAGACATCCCGGGTATTGCTAGCTCCTGGTCCGTAAACTGAGAAGATATCCAAGTTTCAGATATTTCTATCAGACGAGCATTATTATCATTGCTGATTTTATGGAAAAACCCAGACCAGAGGGTATGATGGTGATTTCCCCTATCAGTGGAAAACTCCGATATGGGTGTTACGCATTTATGTGAAAAAGAATTTATTATTAACTTCAATGTTTAAGTCCTTCAAGGCATAATTACAGTAAATGATTTTTTTATCATATGATAATCAAGTTTACTATGCATTCCAGTATAAATGTTTCGTCCTTTTTTGAGTAAGCCAAAAATGCAAGGGATTGACAAGCGTTTGTAAATTATGCTTGTAAAAATGGCGTGTACCTACCCTCGCAAGAATATATTATTACTATTTGTACCACGCCATTTTTTTCAAAAACCCAACCCTCATGCATATGAATTGTTATTATTGTCACAAACTTCGAATACTCCATCGGTCCAGCCTAACTATAGCTAACTGTTTCTTTTAGAAGAGGATATGAGAGATGGGTGGAAGCCAGCAGAGTGCCAAACTTGATGGGCTGCCACCGGCCGACATTTTGGAGGTAGTTGAAGAAGTTAATGAATAGAATTTTGAAGAACTAAAACATGACAGTTACCAAAGTACGAACCCGAAGTATTAAACATCCTAACGATTTAGACGACGTTGTAGATTTACAAATGCGCATTCATTCCTGCGATTACCTGGTGTAGTTGAAGTAATTGTTCACTTACAGCATCCGCCAGTATTGTTTCGTTTTTTCATCAAGTCACATTTAGGAGGTACGGGTACGGAGATTTCGCCACAAATAAATCTGTTAATGAAAGAGAAGCTTGATAGGATTGTCATTCGTATGATGGAGGTGCAGTCACTGTTCAGAAGACAAATGAAATCCTTAGCAATTTGCGTGCGTTTATTCCCAAGCTCTGGATGTCCAACAGAAGTGCGCTGCGTAGTCACCACAATAAAAAACCCAAATTTATGGACTCAGGATTGCACTACCACATTGGACTGAAATCAAATTTTCTGAGGCTTTATATATTTGGCTCCGCAAGACCGATTTCGGCGAACTGAAATTATAACTCAACAATTATGGCTTGTCAGTGTCTCGAACAACAGTTGTAGTCTATCCTAGGTCGCCTTGTAGCTTCGTATTCCAGTGGTATATTCTTGGCTGGTATCTGTCGTGGTGAAATAAAACCATCTAATTTCAACGAGCTGAATACACAGAGGTAAACAAGAGAATAAAGAGGAGTATTAGAGCTTACAAGCAAAAAAGGGATAGCAACAACAGCTGAAAAATTTGCGAGAGAAGTAAATACGAAAAAACTAGATGACACGACGAAGAAATTATGAGGGAATTATAGAGAACCAGAGACACCAGTCAAGGACAAAGAAAGCCATATTAGCACCGAGATTCAAGATGGGCTGAACACTTTGAGGAACTCTTGAACAAGCCAAAATAATGCATCGAACACAGCTGACAGATGCATTCCAAGTAAGGACCGGAACCAGATTGGGCTGCTTACTCTCACCCTGTTTCTTTCTTCTGGTGGTTGACTGGATTATGAAGACCTCGACATCAAAAGGGATGCACGGAATATTATGGACAGCTTAGACGCAACTCGATGATTCGGAATTTGCAGACGACCTGGACCTTCTATTCCATACACACCAACGAATGCAGGTCGAGACAAACAATATAACAGAAGCCGCTGCATCAGTAGGCCTAAACATACACAAGGATATGGAGAACACCAACACGATCACACTTGCTGAAGAAACCCTGGAAGTGATGGAATCTTTCATGTACCTTGGAGGTACCATCGATGAACAAGGAGGATCATATATAGACATAAAGGCAAGGATTGGCAAAGCAATGCCTGTGTTCCTGCAGTTGAAGAACATATGGAACTCCAAACAAATGTCAGTCAACATCAAAGTGAGAATCTTCAATACGAACGTCAAGACAATCCTACTGTACGAAGCTGAAACTTGGAGAACTACTACAACCCTCAACAAAAAGATGCAAGCATTTATAAACAGATGTCTACTTAAGATATTCAATATCTGTTGGCCGGATACCATCGGCAACAGCCTACTGTGGGAGAGGACAAGTCAGCTTCCAGTTTAAGGGAAAGTTGGAGAAAGCAGAACGACATAAATTAACCGCCATAATGGATGTGTAGGCAGTCATCAGAACTTAATTGTAACAATTGTAGTGATGCAAATACGTAACTGTGGCGAACCATATCGCCACACAATTAGTAGAGTTGTTTCATTCAAGG